GTTGCGGGCGCGGGGCCGGCAGGTCCGGGGGCAGCTCCGGGAGCTCGAGGCCGAGGAGTCCGACCTGGAGCAGAGGTTCTACCTGGGGGCCCTGCAGCTGCCCAACTGCACCCACCCCGCTGTGGTGAGCCCAAAACCCCCCCAAACAACCCGTGCAGCTGCCCAACTGCACCCACCCTGCTATGGTGAGACTGGAGGGCTCCTGACCCCCTCCCGTGCCCCCCCAGCCCGTCGGGGACCAGAGCCAGGCCCGGGTGCTGGAGGTGGTTGGGGAGAAACCAGGTACGGGGGAACTGGGGGGAAGGAGGAGGAGGGTTCTGGGGAGAAAAGAGGTCCTGGGGAGGGGGGATGAAGACACTGGGAGGGCCCCTTGGTGAGGAAGAAGAGGGTCTGTGGGGAGGAGAAGGGTCCAGGGGAGGGTGAGGAGGATCTGGGGAGTGGGGAAAAGGGTCTGGGGGTGATGAAGGATCTGGGGGGGGGGAGGAGGGTCTAGAGGTGATGAAGGTGACAAAGGCCACCCTCCCCTCCCTCCCCAGTGTTTGATTTCAAACCAAAGGGACACCTGGAGCTGGGGGAGGGGCTGGACATCATCCGGCAAAGGTGAGAGAGCACCTGGGGGGACACACACACCTGTCCCGTGTCACACACCTGTCCCGTGTCACACGTGTCCCACACGTGTCCCCATGTCACATGTGTCACACCTGTCCTGTGTCACACGTGTCCCACACCTGTCCTGTATCACGTGTCACACCTGTCCCATGTCACACGTGTCCCACACGTGTCCCCATGTCACATCTGTCACACCTGTCCTGTGTCACACGTGCCCCACACGTGTCCCGCAGTTGCAGTTCCAGTCCCACGTGTCGGGCGCTCACTCCTATTACCTGTTCATGGCGGGGACGCCCCCAGGTGTCACACAGGTGTCCCACACGTGTTCCCCTGTCACAGGCGCCTGTCCCACGTGTCGGGCCATCGCTCCTATTACCTGTGTGGGGCCGGGGCGCTGCTGCAACACGCGCTCGTCGCCTTCACCTTGGGGAAGCTGTTGTCCAAGGTATGGGGGGCTGGGGGGCACTGGGGGGGTCCAGGATCCAGGGATGCTCTGGTCAGGCCCCACGTGCCCCCTGATGACCCCCTTTTCCCTCAGGGTTTCCTGCCCATGACGGTCCCTGACCTGCTCCGAGGCGCCGTTTTTGTGAGTGACCCCCCGCACCCCCTGACCCCCTGACCCTTCAGGACTCCTCTGACCCCTCCTGACCCCTGTGACCCCCAGGAGGGCTGTGGGGTGCAGCTCAGTGCCACCCCCTCGCCTGTTTACACCATCGACCCGTCGCGCTTTGAGGACCTTTGCCTGGCTGGGACCTCGGAGGTGGGAATTGCAGGTGGGAAATTGGGCAAAATGAGGGGGAGGAGTGGGGAAAAACGGGAAAAGGGTGGGAAGAGGGGGTGCAAACAGGTCTGGGGGGGGCTCTGTGTGCCCCCTGGCCCCCTCAAACCCAGCCTCTGGCCCAGGGTATTTCATGGACCACGCGGTGCAGCTGCAGAACCTGCCCATCAGGTACGGGGGGGGTCTTCCCCCACTCCAGCTCCCCCTTCCCTTTTGGGGTCCCTTCACCCCTTCTCAGGGAGTCCTGGGCATTTAGGGCACCCCCCTACACCCCCTTTTCCCTCTCAGGGTCGTCTGTTCCAGCACCTGCTACCGCGCCGAGACCGACACGGGGCGGGAGCCGTGGGGGCTCTACCGTGTCCACCAGTTCACCAAGGTACTGGGAGCACTGGGAGGCCCCCCCCGGGGGGTGCAGGAAAGGGGAGGTCAGCCCTGCATGCCCCCCAAAGGTGGAGATGTTCGGGGTGACGGCGACGGAGCGCGGGACGGAGAGCGAGGAGCTGCTGGCCGAGTTCCTGGGACTGCAGAAGGAAATCTTCTCAGAGCTGGGGCTCCATTACCGGTGAGGGGGGTTTTGGGGGTGTCCCCTCTCTGTGTCACCCCAAAATCCCTCGTGACGCCCCTAAATCCCCCCCACTGCCCACAGGGTCCTGGACATGCCCACGGAGGAGTTGGGGCTCCCCGCATACCGCAAGTTCGACATCGAGGCCTGGATGCCTGGACGGGGCAAATACGGGGAGGTGAGGGGGGACATGACCCCAGAATTCCAGGAGGACCCTGATATTTGGAGGGGTGTGCAGGGTGATCCCCCCCTCAGGCCATCCAAGGGCAGAGACCCCCCTGTTTATGGGACAGCTGGAGGATTCCCCCCCACTTTTATAGCAAATCAGGAGACTGACCCCCATTTAGGGGGTCCCTGGAGTGGGGAGGGGTGTCCCCCAAAACCCTCAGAACTCTCTTTTTGAGCCTCACCCCCCAGATCTCCAGTGCCTCCAACTGCACCGACTACCAGAGCC